AAAAAAAAAAAGAGGAAAAAAGAATCAATGAGCCCCCGGCGGCGGTGCGAGCCCGGCCCCACGCCCCCCCCCACCCCCCCAGCCCCCCCCACCCCCGAGCGGCACAATGGCTTTCCATTAAACAGGGATAAACATTATTTTCTGCTGTGCTGAATTACTTCCTGTTCTTATTTTGTGGGTAATTTTTTCTGTACCGAATATCCTTTGGTTGTGTATCTCCACCTTTTTTCTTGTACTAAAACTAAAGCATGGTCTGTATTTTTTTACATTACCTAGTTTCTGATGTAAATCTCTCTGTAGAGACATACCCTGCTGAAATGTAATGTGCTGTAGCCTATACATCTGCTCAGTGTACGCTGCTTTTGTTCTGTTGCCCTTCCATAGCATGGTGGGCCTTGCCTTTTTGTATTGTGTGCATGATGACATTGTTACACACGATTCCACTAATACTAATATACGATCTCTCAATAAAGAAACTAGTTTTCCTATATTAACCTAGTGTGCTTTTTCTATTGCTGTTTTCCCATTTATTGTCGTATCCTGCTGTTTAGATTTTTTCCTTGCTTTCACCCCATCGTGAGGTTGGAGTGAGTGGATCTTCCCCTAGCGCAGACAGGGGGGCTTTTAACGTATATTTAACATAAATATATATTTATATATATTTCCCCCCCCCCCCGCCCGTCCCATGTCCTGGCATTAGCCTGTGTGTACATGCTCCCATGCCATATCCGTAGCGTGCCGATGCAGAATCCTCTTGTCAAACCAAACGGCAAAAAAGAGTGCATAAATCCCAGCAATCAGTTATTAATCAGAGAGATTTAACGAAGGGGATGCTGCTTATTTTTAGTCGCATTACACATTCCTCACCTGAGTGCTACCAACAGGAGAGGGATGACTCGCGGATAGATGGGGGGAGTCATTTTTTTTGATTAACGAGAGGTAAAAGGACCTGGAAATTAATTTAAAAAAAAAGAAAGAAAGAAACAACACCCCATAACCTCCTCTTTTAGCCCTGCAGTCGGGCACGTACGTACATTGAGTGCCCTGCCCACCATCTGCTGCCAGGCAGGAGCTGCGGTGCTTGGTCCCAGTGATTGGCACCCTATAAAATACCCCCACAGACCCCCCCAGGTCCTCATGCCACGGCTGCATTTTCCTACCAGGAGCCCCCATCTTCCCCATGGTCAAAACGTGGGCTTGGGGAAGTTCCTAGCAGCTTTAAGATGTGGCAGCACAGAGGGATGCACCGAGAAATAATTGCGGTTAGTGGGCAGTTTGGCTGCAAAGTAGTGGTCACTGCACCAGGCCTCGTTTCCCCAGGTCCTGTAAACCCCTCAGGTTTTGGCTTTAGGGTGAGATGTGGATGCCACGGCTCCCGACAGCAGGAGAGGGGCTGGGGGTAGCGTTCCCAAAGGCAGCCACAGGGATGGGTTTTGTAGCGAGGAGAAGGCAGATCTCAGCCTCTCCGTGCTTCCCACTGCTGTAATGGCAAGGAAAACCCCTCTCCACCCTCCCTAGAAAGCCAAACAAAAGTGTTCCCAGGCGCCCGCCCTGCCTTCCCCAGCATCCCTCCAGGAGATGCATCATTTCGCAAGGCCGTGCCTTTCCACCTCCCTCCTAGCTTTACCCTCAGTTTCTCGTTTTCGTTCCGTTTATGATTTCCTTCTCCATACTTTCTTTTTCCGTGTATCTCAATGCCTGTTTGGCCATCCTGTCCCCCCTGTATGAGCAACGGCGGGCTCCCCTGCTCCCCTGGATGTAGTGTATGCTGTGGCCCTTTGTTCTCGCTCCATCTTCGCCCTGGGCCAGCGCTGGGCTCCGTGTGTGACACATGTATCCCTTACACACCCTGAGGAGGAGGGAGGCTGTGCTTCTCGCTTGCATGAAGGGAGAAATGCATGCCTGTTGGGGGCTGATCATTTTCTGATGTGACTTTTTTCATTTATTATTATTTTTTATTATTATTATTATTATTATTTCGATGATTACTCAACCCCTCCATCCCACGTGAGATGAGGCTTTTTTTTTTTTTTTTTATTTAAATGAACCCCCTTTCCTTTCACCCCACCCTGAAACCCTGACACCAAACCCAGCTCCCCACAGAACCCTACGGGAGCAGTGGGTTCACCCTGAGGTCCTTTCCTCATGAATGATCCAGAGCAAAACCATTTGGTCCACGTGCTCTGAGGATACCTCGCTGATCTAATAATACAGAAAGCTGCTGGGTTAATGGTAGCTCGCACTGAGCAATTTATCATCCACATCGTATTTTTGACCTGTCTTGTTAGAAACACATTGCTACGAGAAGAAACATCTCCCCCCTTCCCCTTTTCCAACTCCACCTCCCAGCATTATTAGTCAGTAACCAGCAGGCTTTCATGGCTCATAATCCATCAAACGCATCCGCACGTTAATGGCTTAATTCCTTTGACACTCACGAAGGCACCTGTACAAAGGAAATCATCTTCCTTCATTTTAGCATCCACGGGTGGAGAAAGCCTGGGAGAAATCCCATGCTGTGGGCACGGATGCACGTGGGTCGTTTCCAGCCCGTGGTTGCTCTGAATGACCTCTTTCTCCAACAGGAAGAAGGATAATCTCAAACATGGGCAAAACTGGCTCTGAGATGGGTTTATATAAGGGTTATATAAAGGTCTTAAACACATCTGCAGGAATTCCAGCGCCGTGTTGTCGAACGGGAGCCAGCCCCATCTGTTTCTGTGCAGGGGTCTCACAAGAGGTTTGGGTTGTGGTCACCATTTCCATCATGGTTAGGGATGAGAGAAATGAATGGCAGTTGTTTTTTCCTGTTGGTTGGGGGAATAATAAGCAAAGCCTAATGAGCGTTGGACCAGACCGTGTGTGGATCAGGCCCTGTGCAGGTGTGTTATCAAAAAAAACAATGAGTTTCATGTCCAAGTGCAAAAAAAACAAGATGGCTGGGCAGGGCCTGTGGGATGGGGGGCTCCCAAAATCCCTCCTAGGGGTTGCTGGGGCAGGGTAGGGTGTGTGAGGAGTGGCAGAAGTCCCAGGTTTGTTTGTCCCAGAGGAGAGGAGACTGAGGGGAGACCTGGCAGCCTACAGCCCCTTGTGGCCCTACAGCCCTTCATGGCCCTACAGCCCCTTGTGGCCCTACAGCCCATTATGGCCCTACAGCCCTTCATGGCCCTACAGCCCATTGTGGCCCTACAGCCCATTATGGCCCTACAGCCCCTCATAGCCCTACAGCCCATTGTGGCCCTACAGCCCATTATGGCCCTACAGCCCCTTATGGTCTATAGCCCCTCATGGCCCTACAGCCCCTCACGGCCCTACAATCTCTCATGGCCTGTAGCCCCTCAAGGCCTTACAGCCTCTCATGGTCCTACAGCTCCTCATAACCCTGCAACCCTTCATATAACCTTACAGCTCCTCATGGTTCTACAGTTCCCTATAGCCCTTCAGCCCCTCCTGACCCTACAGCCTCTCACAGGGAGCATTGATCTCTGCCCTTTGGTGGCAGCGACAGGGCCTGAGGGAATGGCATGGGGCTATGCCAGGGGAGGGTCAGGCTGGGCATTAGGAAAAGGTTCTTCACCAGAGGGCAGTGGGCATGGCACGGGTTCCCCGGAGCAGTGAGCACAGCCCCAAGCTGAGCCAGAACTCATGGAGCATTGGGACATCACTCTCAGACACAGGGTTTGGGTTTGGGTGGTGCTATGTGAAGCCAGGGGTTGGACTCGGTGATCTTTGTGGGTTTCTTCCAGCTTGGATTCCCTCTGTGTTCTGTGATTCCGTGTTGCTGCAGCCTCACACCCCACAAACCCTGCATGCCACTGGGAGCCTGTGTGACATCCCTGACCATCTCATCTCATTCTGTTGCACCAGACCCCGCAGCAGAGGGGGGAGCAGCCTCTCCCCGTGGCCCACCTTCATCCGAAGAACGGCTCTTACAGGAGGGAATGGGTCTTTTAGGGGTGCAGTGCTGGGAGTAGAGGGCACAGGCATCCCCTCCTGCCCTGCGGGTCATTGGCATGTATGTGGTGGTTTAACACCAAGTTCTGCATTAGGGCTGCCTGATGTCATCCCTGGAAGATCCTTGTTTTTGGAGGTGTGCTGGTTTTGGAAAGCAGCAAGTAAAGATACTGGCAATAAAGGGGCGTGGGGACCTTCAGAAGATCTTAACCCTGTATCTCATTAATCTTCAATATCTGTTATCTCTCATGGGAGAGATGACTTTGCAGCTGGGGGAATCGTATTACTAAACATTGTCA